TCAATAAGAGGACAGACACATAAAAATCTGATGTCAATTTGTTAAATTGAAAATTGAAAAGTAGCTAAACTGGTAGTAATTCTAAGAATATTCTCATTTTCAGTACTCCATCCACTCCATGTCCATCAGGCATGTATTCAACAGGAGGAGCTTTATACAACTGTACTGCCTGTCCAGCTGGGAGTGCTTGTGCAGATCCTGCAGCCAATCCAGTACCATGTTCTGGAGGTATGTTATTATCATATTTCTATATTTACTAATTTGTAGATGATTGTTATTTAACCTATGTCAATGACACATTGATCAGGAAAATTCATTTTTCCCCTTTAACAAAAAAAACGGCAGGAAGTGACGTAATCACAAAAGAAGTGTGACGAGAACGGCAAGTAGTTATCACACTTCTTGAGTGACTGACATGTGGTCTGGATGGGAGAACATTATGCTCAATATAGCAAACAGTCAACCATATTGTCAGATAGACAGACAGACAAAACAGTGTTCCACCTTATAATGACAAAAGCAATGCCAAAACCAACAAAAACAAATCCAAAAAATTTTAACGAATGCGCAATTTATCATTGTAACCACGGTCATTAATTATTACCATTTAAATGTGTAAGTTGCTTAATTTAATTTAGATAGAATAACTCTTTAAAAAATCATGGTGCAAGAAAATTTGTTGTATAGTACTGGATAAGAATTATTTACCTTTCTACATACCAGTTCTTTGTGTTGAGGTATTGTTTCGTTGTAGAATATATTATAACCTACAGCAATCTTCCAAAGTCTGTGAAAACTTCCACAACGTAAAAATGGCGGCTTTTCTCGTGAAGTTTGAGCAAACGCGCCAAATGAGTTGCAGTGGCGCGAAAACAGTACGAGCAATTCCATTGGCGCTTCGATTTTTAATATCACTGTACCTGATTGGGTCGTTCCTAAACCCATTCTATCAAAATTTATTTTTAGTTTTTGTAAAGATATTTTGAGATATTTTTTTTTGCTGCTAGTGTCATGAAATAAACCCGTGAACGATTACTTTTAAATAGTAAAACTAAATAGTACTAAATACTTCAAAATTGATGTACGTAAATTTTCATGGTTTTTTTCGTTACACTCTAACAAAATTATCAAAAAAACAAAAAAAAGATATAGATTTGATCATGCATAAGCTTATCAGCTTACCTCCAAGTTTTGATGTTTTCTTTCTTTTATCTGAACTGAAGCCACCTATTCTCTGGCCATGTGGACTGAGTGCAAGGCATGTCCAGCTGGTCATAGATGTCCACAACACAAAACTAAAGAGCTGTGCCCATTTGACGATGCTTCAGGATATTATTACAGCACTGATTCGAGTAAGTAGTTGTATTTTAGAGTGTCGAATTTTTTAATATACCCTTTTATATGAACGGAAATATATGTGAATTTAGCTTTGTTACTAACTACAAACTCACTTTAACTGGCGTCAATAGCAAGTTTTATAATTAAAATTTCCTAAATAAAAACACACAAACTAAGAGAGGTCCAGAGCACAACTGAGATTACAAAAGTCCTAGCTGTTTTTCGATCAACAATCACTTATCGAACTCTTATTCCATTAAAAGGGAATTCTACGTTTGCACGTTACGTCATCGCGGCCATATTGGTACCATTTATGAAAAGATTTCTCATTAGCATCCATTGTTAACGGTACCACTATGGCCGCCTTGTTTTTGTCTTTTAACTCTCTTGGGAATGCTTGCAACCTATTAATAGAGCTTATAGGTTGTGACTTATTTTTGCGTCCAACTGTTCACGAAGACTAAATAAAGTGAAAAATATTCTTAATAATCTAACCGGCTTCACCTCCTGTAAATAATTAGATGCTCGGCTCTATGATCGTATATCCACACATATCGACACCAGATCCTTCAAATATAATTTCCCTACAATTCACGAGCCACGTTTCAACATGTATGTTTTTCTCTAGTGATCGATTGTGCAAGCTGCCCCAATGCCACCACAGGGAAGATCTGTTTATCGCGAGAAAAGCAACCAGTCAGTTGTCAAGCGGGTGAAGTTCCCAGTTCCTCTGGTACCTCATGCGTTCGTTGTAGGCCTGGATACTACTGCCCCTCTCCAACAGACACCGAGAAACCTTGCTTAGATGGCCAGTATTCACTTGAAGGAATGACCGAGTGTCACGATTGTCCTAGAGGATTCGAGTGCCAAACACCTACTAACATACCAACTCCTTGCACGGCCGGGTTTTATGCCGATACCTTGAAAACGAAATCTTGTATACCTTGTCCTGCTGGTAGCAAGTGCCCTTTGACATCTGGTCCTCCACAGCTATGTTCGTCAGGTAATACTTTAAATTTCCAGTAGTAACAGCAATAACATAGGCCCTTTTCTGAGATAGCGAACATGGTGCATTGTGGTCTACCTTTTGCACCCTACGTAAACCAATCTGCCTTCGCCGTCTAAGAAACTCACAACAAATTTGACGATAAAGGAGCAGTCGAAGCTCAGATGGTTAGTGCACGGACTTTGGAGCTAGAGGTCCACGGTCCGATCGCCAGGATCTTCACTTATGTTTCGTCTTCTCTCTGATCCGTGCAGCTTCAGCTTTGAATGTTATAAAAACAGAGCACTGATGGCAGCTAGAGAGGGGTAAAGCGCGCACAGTAGGCTTCTTGGGAATACTAGCATCGGAGCTGAAGGAATTCGAACTACCGACGCGAAATAAAGTCATACATCTAAACGAATCTTAACTCAAAAAATTCCTCTAGGGCGTCACATCAGTGCACCGCATGGACCTTTAGCATAACATGCATATGATATTGAATGCTACATGTTTTTATCTGGTCACTTATTTTTATTGCTAGGAACATACAGTGAAGCTAAAGCCGTAAGCTGCATTGTTTGTCCACCGGGTATGGCCTGTCCTAACAAATCGAATCATCTAGATAATAAGCTGTGCGAACGTGGAACATATTCTACTGCAGGAGAAATAGTTTGTCACATATGTAGAAAGGGGTTTTACTGCCCTCTAACCACGTAAGTGTTAACTAAATCGTCTTTGATATCTGTATACAGCTTTTAAAAGCTTGAAATGTATGTATTGTGGAAAATATGCCGGAAAAACGTGGAGACAAAGTTTTGGAAATTTTCATAGTGTGGTGACCTTTCGGTGATAGCATTCACATGGCTGATAGTGTAGTCCAGTATGAAAAGTTTCAAAATTATGTGATCACGTTAATCATCTAAACTTACATGTAATTAAGTGAGCATAAATATTTATGCTCTCTTGATGTAATTAATTAAGCACTAAAGGTTATGGTTTGTCGATATTATTATCATCCTGCTTCAGAAAAGAGGCAGTGCAATCAAAGGATTGATATAAGCAGGTTTCTATCAAACCCCATTTTCATATTGATTTGAAAATATATTCTGGTTTCAGGAAAAACGTTGAATTAAGCTGTCCTCCTGGAAAGTACTCAGATGCTGGAGCAGCAGTTTGTACATCATGTCCTGCTGGGAAAAAATGTCCAAGTGTTACAGGTGTTGGAATTCAAGATTGTGGTGCTGGGGAATACTCTATTGGAGAACAAACCCAGTGTACACCTTGTCCCAAGGGATTTGCGTGTCCTTCGAATTATACTGACTATAAAACCAAATGCTCACCTGGCTTCTACTCAGTTGGGAAACAGGTTGAGTGCACTCCTTGTAAAGCAGGATAGTAAGTCCGAATCATTTTTTCATTGTATTTTTACTATTTTATCCTAAACCTTATTTGATTTATAGTCCCCTTGCATGAATTTTTTAAAATGAAATTCAGATTGGGTGGTTAGCCACGCCGTTTGGATCGAGTTTGAAAATAGTAAGAATACAGATTAAGGTAACATTTAAAGAGGACATCAAATATGCCTTTCTAGGTAACTGTCATCTCCTTTGAAATCGTTCTGGAACTTATGCATATAGTCCCACGCCCCACATTTCACAGACCCCCTCATACCTCACTCCTTTGGGCCACTACTCAGAATACTTGCAAGGGATATATAAAACTCTTCTCTTACCATTGCTTCTTCCATGTTTTAATAGAAACCTTTTTTGTATTTTATAGCTACTGCCCACGAATAGACGCAAGAATAGAAACAGCATGTGACTTGGGATTTTTCTCCACTGGAAACGCGTCGGCATGTACTATGTGTCCTCCTGGCTATGCATGTCCTTATCAAGATCGTGATTACCGGTAACACATGATGATCCTTTTATTTTTACGATTACAGTGTATACTAAAACTTGTTGAATTATAAAGCATTCGTTAAAGCATTATTGCTCAACACCCTTTACGTTGCAAACGGGTACTCCTCAGGACTACTTACTAAATACTTCGTTTTTTCCAGTGAACCATGTCCAAATGGCACTTATTCATTGGGTGCTCAGATTAAATGTAAAATTTGTCTCCCGGGACAATCCTGTATGTCGACTACTGCTGGTCCTAAAAGGTGCTCTCCTGGGTACTACAGTGAAGTGAACTCTCGCGTCTGCTTACTTTGTAAAGCTGGATTCCAGTGTGCTGACCCTTCAGGTTAGAAATGAAATTTGAAATATAATTGTTGTTTTGTTGGTTCTTCGTTATCATTTCTCAGTTCATTCCTTACTACTTCCAGTCTACCTATTCTACTCATAAAAAACGCTTAAAAATATTTAATTTATGCTTATTGGTGTTCTTTTTTAGCTCCTGCGCCGTGTCCAGCTGGAACGTACTCGAATCGTGGATGGTCAAGATGCGTGTCTTGTAAAAAGGGCTTTTTATGTCGTGAACAATCGACTTCCAGTACTCCTGCTGATGGTAAGATCATTGCAAAGACAAGATAATAAAGATAAATAGTTGAAATAGGGAGTATATACCCCCCCTCTCACTGTTGTGACTTTGCAGTGCGGTGTAAAAAAGAATAATAGAAAATATGCCAAACTATCTCCATTTTTTTGTATTTATTGTTTACCTATATATTTCTTTCTCCATATTTGATCTGACAATTGGCATTATTTCAAAGGTGTGTGTAAAACCGGAGGATGGTGCGATGGTCAAACTTTCCATCCGTGTGGTCCAGGGACCTATAACCCTACAACTGGTTCAGAGTCATCAAAAGCTTGCATAAGCTGTCCTCCTGGTTATTACTGTCAAAACAGCGGACTGTCCAACTTTACTGCGTTTCCCTGTCCTGAAGGTTACTACTGCCCAGAGGCAACAAAGTATTCACGTGAATTCCCCTGTCCAGCTGGTACATATAATCCAGACACCAAAGCAACAGCTCAAAGTCCCGCATGTCGTCCTTGTAATGCGACCACGTATTGTGTTGCTGGATCCAAAGAGCCTGTCATATGTCCACCAGGGTATTACTGTCCAGAATCTACAAGAGCAGGAAATCAATTTGCATGTCATGCCGGGACCTATAGTGATGTCACTGGTTTAAAGAATTTTACAGAATGTAAGGATTGTCCACCTGGCAGCTATTGTCCGGAAGGAACGTCTACGGAGCCAGCGATACGTCCCATACCCTGTCCTCAGGGGACATATAACCCATACTGGAAAATTGGTTTTGTCTTAAATTGTATTCCGTGCACTGCAGGAATGTTTTGTCCATCAGCTGGTCAAACCAATGCAACTGATATTTGTTACGAAGGTTATTACTGTCCGAATGGCACAGTTGCTGGCCACCAATTTCCATGTCCTCCTGGGACATATGGCGATCGCCCTGGACTGACAGCTGCCGAAGAATGCTTGACTTGTCCAATTAAAAAGTCATGCGACTGGGGTACTGGCTTGAATAACAGCAATAAGTGGCAAGTTTGCCGTCAAGGACATTATTGTCCTGCAGGTAAATTAATCAGCAACCAATTAACTACTGAACACCTTTCTTGCACACAATATACGCTATGAAGACCAACTGAAACTTAGATAGAATTATACCCGAATGTTTTGACGAGTTCTATTTTTCCATAGATAAAAAGATAATTTTTTACTTACGAATATCTAGAAATACGAAGGCAACATCTTGAACAATCTTATGCTATATAACTGTTAAATCAGGGGAAAAAGAATGTATAGGTTTGGGCAAGATGTTTGTTGTATTATTGACTGTCTCTATTATAAGTTTCTTTTGTTTTATAACTGAAGTAATATTTTATTTGATTGTTTTCTCAGGAACTCCATCTCCTACGAAGTTCCCTTGCCCTCCTGGTACTTACACTAACAGCTCGGATCTTTACGATGCATCACAGTGTACACCATGCCCTGAAAGATTCTACTGTCTGGGTGGAGAAGCCCAACCCAGTGGAAGATGTCCACCAGGGTACTATTGTCCAGAAAGCACTAGAGTAGCCGTGCAATCGCCATGTAACAATGGTACTTACAATCCTCACTATAGTAAAGCTCGGCAGGATGAATGCTTGAATTGTACTCAAGGCCACTTTTGTGAAAAAGGAAGCGTACATCCTGAACATTGCCCAATAGGTAAGGCTATATGATAATATAAGGTTTTTATTTTATTTTGTTTTTTCAATTACTTTTATTTAACATGTTATTGCTTGCAAATTATTTTTAAAAAATATTTTCATAGTAGGAACAGTCTGTAACATTTATTTAGAGCTATCATGAACGGTAATGTAGAAGAGACTAAAAGCTGAGTAAGCTCTTTTGAACGATGTCAAACTTCTTCCTTTTCAGGAACTTATATGCCTTATGGATATAACACCACGGCTTCCACAACTTATGGAAAGTCTGCAGGTTATCAGGACGATTGCTTGCCATGTCTGGCAGGTCACTACTGTTTGAACGCCACAGTAACTCCCAGTCCATGTGGCAAAGGAGTTTTCACCAAGCCAGGGCAATCAGTATGTAAAACCTGCCTGCCAGGTCGATACTGCGACAGTGAAACGACGACGGAAACGCAGATGAATACAACTATGCAGTGTCCGGAAGGAAAGTACTGTAAGGGAGGGCTCAAGAATGTCAGCGAAGCCACACCCTGTAGTACGGCTCACTACTGTCCACAAGGTAACATTAACTTTATATACACTAAATAGAAACTTTTTTACATGCATTTTTTATTTCTGATTATATAAAAATTATAGCTGCAGCCCAACCCAAGAGAGACCCACTAAATGTTGAATTTTTAATCCGCAACAGTTCTCTAAACAAAATATTTACTTATCTTAGAAGTAATGTTTTCCCATTTTTTGACAATGTTTTCCAATTTTCAGACCTCGTATCCAAGGGCGGATCCAGGGGGCAAAGGGGGGCTGAAGCCCACCTTCAGCTGAAAAAAACGATGCTTTTTTATATTGTTTTCCGTTGTGTTGACGGAAGAAACTCAATTAGCCCCCCTAAACTCAATTAGCCCCCCTAAACTCAATTAGCCCCCCCCCCCTAAAATTTTGGCTGGACCCGCCCTTGGTATCATATCATTTAGGAGCACGATTCATTGTCTCGAGAATTACCTTTTAATTGTTGCCATGGAAATTGCATGTGGTCCGAAAATGGAAAACACGGAATCTACTGTGGCCATTCCCCTATATTCTGTCAAATGATCTATATTCTTACTTTTTCTACATTGCGATGCATTTCTTCTTAATGTGATTTGTAAACAAATTTACAGGAACTGAAGTGGAAATACCTTGTCCCGTTGGTACATATAACCCACATGAAGGAAAAGGCACAGTTCTTGATTGCATCATGTGTACAGCTGGAAAATACTGTCGGGAAAAATCCATAAATCCTACAGGAGTGTGTGACCCAGGTTTTTATTGCCCGACAAATATTACCAATGAGGTTTCAAGTCTTCGTATTGGATCTTACGGCCCTCGGCAAATTCCTTGTCCTAAAGGAACTTATAGAACACAGTCTGGTGGGCGTAACGTCTCTGATTGCTCTTCATGTACCGTTGGAAATTACTGCCCCGAGGGAACAGTAAACCCAAAAGTTTGTCCCCTTGGTTTTTATTGTCCTCCCGCTTCAGGAGATCCACAGCCATGTCCAGTTGGGACTTTCAATAATCGCAGTGGCATTCATTATATCGAAAACTGTACTGCTTGTACTCCTGGATGGTGAGTGCAATCAGTTCTTGATTTCTTTGACTTCATATTATTTGTCCAATCTTATGTTCGTTGTTTGTTTAGGTACTGTGATGCACAAGGCCTACCCATTCCCCGTGCCCAGTGTGACCCTGGCTATGTCTGCTACAAGGGCGCATATATTGGTACTCCCACTGACGGCGTAACTGGTCGACCATGTCCCGAAGGAACTTTCTGCGTGACTGGTTCCTACGAGTATCAGTCATGCAATCCAGGGACCTATAGTAAAAGCGCCGGTGCAACAAACAACCAGGATTGCCAAGTTTGTGACCCTGGGTATTACTGTTCAAAGAAAGAGCTTACTAAACCGGAAGGCCCATGTAACCGTGGGTATTACTGCCCTGCAGGATCGCGTAGTCCAAATGAAACTCTTACACCAAAAGGTTATTTCACTCCAGATGGAGCATCAGACAAACAGCCCTGTTTGCCTGGAACATACCAACCACACGAAGGCAAAAGTAACTGCCTGCCTTGCCCGGAAGGCTACTTTTGTCCAACTAAGAACATGAGCGAAGCAATGGTATGCCCAGCTGGTTTCTACTGTCCAATTGGAAGCGAGAAAGCTAATGCATGTCCAGAAGGGACATACAGCAATTACACTAGAGAATCTTCCAACTCCAGCTGTAAGAGTTGTCCGCCAGGAAAATATTGTAATCCAACAGCCCAGACCTACCCAACAGGTAAAGTAAAAATAAAATGCATTGCATTATATTTGAAAAGGAACCCTTTTAAACATTCACGTTAAGGACCTGATGTGCCTTGGCCAATTATTGTGACTGGATAATCAGTGTTCTCTTGCGCATGTATTTAGCAGATGGTCGTCAATACCGTACTGTGACGATACCCCGGGTACAGTAACGTTTAACATTCACACCAAATCCAGTCTATTATTCTATTCCATCTTTGCGATTACTTGATAAAAATGACTATAAATTTATTGTTCAGTTGCTATCTTCCTTGACTCCTCCTCCATCTTCCAATATCTTATGAATTAAACTTTAACACACGGTTTCATTGTTTTTAGCGGATTGCGACGCTGGGCATATTTGTTTTGGAGGTGCCACCAGAGGTAACCCAACCTTCGAGAAGGGTGTGTTAGAATGGGGAAGAGTCTGTAAAGCAGGTCACTATTGTCCTAAAGGAACTACTTACGAGCGGCCGTGTCCAGCAGGAACTAAAAAGTAAGAATCTCTCAGCCTTTTTAGTTTGCATATTTAATATAATATATACTGTTTCTATGGACAACGTATTAATTGTCAAAGATGGATTGACGAGTTTTAAAGGTTTTCCAATGTCATATTATATGTAACAAGGTTCAGGTTCAAAGTTTAAAGTTTTGAGTACTAAATTGCTGTGAAAAAGGAAGGTTTCGATTTGGAAGGCCATAGAAATGGCTAAATGGTCCAYGCATTATTTTCGCATTCCAACAGTTAATAACTATTTTTTCATTTCTTTCTTTTTGGAATGTGAAAAATCCTAGTACAAAACAACCATTTCAGAATGCTTTTGCAACGTTAAGAAACACATTGTTGGCTCATCGAGAAAGGCCATCGAAAATCAAATGGCTGAATAGTACACGCATTATTCTCTCATTCCGTCAGTTTGACTTTTATTTATTTTTTCTTCATTTTTCTCGTGCAAAAATCTAATACTTAGCAGCCATTTTAGAATGCTTTTCTAACGTTAGGAAAACACATTTGTCATTGTTCCCCAGGCTTAAAATTTTCAAAAAAAATATCACCTAAATTTTTAATCATCTAAAGCACTTACCGGTGGGAAGTTGTTTGACATTAACTTGATATTGTTTTTAGTCCCTTCGCTGGACGAACAGATGAACTCAATGGCTGTGATCTATGTGACGAAGGATGGTATTGTAATGCTACTGGTCAGACAGAAAGGACAGGTAGATGTGAAGCGGGATACTACTGCGCCCGAGGTGCGACCACTCCTACACCTAACAATGGATCAACAGGAGGTCCATGTCCTAAAGGGCATTATTGTCCTGATGGTCGGCAAGTTAAACCTTGTGAACCAGGTATTTCATTAGCTTGAAAGGATTATTGATTATTGATTATACTTATTTCTAATTATAATACGCTTTTTTTTACTGTTTCCTTCACTATGTAGGATATTTCGCCAATTTTACGGGACTATCCAGCTGCTTAATTTGTCCAGCGAGTTTTGAGTGCGTAGGTGGGACTATTGATCCAGCTCCTTGTCCTCAGGGTTATTATTGTCTTATTGGCAATGACGCAACAGCTAAAGGAATAAAGCAAGCCTGCCCTGAGGGAACATTCGGCTCAAGAACCGGATTATCACTTGAAACACAGTGTGAGGATTGCCCAGGAGGAAAATACTGTCAAGGAACTGCAAACAAGAACTACACGGGCATTTGCGATGCAGGTTATTTCTGTCGGCGAAGAGCAACAAGATTGGGTCCTAGCGATGACACTGTACACACTCCTAAATGGTTTGGACGTTGTCCTATTGGGGGATGGTATTGTGAAGCCGATACAATTGATCCGCAGCCCTGTCAACCTGGCAGTTATGCCCCAAATGGTCAAATGATGATCATTTCTGCTAGTAAATGTACCAAATGTAAGGCAGGCAGTTTTTGTGCTTCTGGAAATCAAAGTGATGTAACGGGGCCCTGTGACGATGGGTTCTACTGCCTTGAGGGATCGTATACCAGCCGTCCAAGTTCTCCGTATGGAGGAAGATGTCCCGCGGGCTACAARTGTCCTTCTGGATCTCCATGGCCGCAGGCCTGCCCTAAAGGCTCCTATCAAAATGATACGGGACAAAAGGATTGTCTTGAATGTCCGGCTGGATACTACTGTTCTGGTAATACCACAAGTCCTGAGATTTGCCCTGCAGGATATTATTGTCCAAAAAATAGTTATGCGGGGACTACCTTCGCATGTCAACCTGGGACGTTCAACAATTTAACTGGGAGGAGTCAGAAGTCTGATTGCATACCATGTACACCAGGATTCTTCTGTGATATACAAGGTAGTTTAATTTCTTTGCCATATCTGATTTCAGAATCTTTTATTCTTGTATGAAGGTTCCGAGACGCTTCGCATCGTTTTACAAGTTTAATATATAATCAATTAACATACTGATTTCTGTAATTATTTTAAATTGATATGTTATTTGAAATTGTTAATTCTGGTGTTAGAATCTCGTTTTCTTTGTTAATTAAGGTCTTGCTGATGTTGCTGGCCCCTGTGATCCCGGATATTACTGTAGAAACGCCTCCATTGCATCAAGACCGGCTCGCTTAAGCGATGGTGGAGGTCTTTGTCAACCAGGTACATTCTGCCCAAGACAGAGCCCAGTTCCACAAACATGTACACCTGGTTTTTACTGTGGTACAACAGGATTACCTGCTCCGTCTGGTAACTGCTCAGCAGGATACTATTGCATTGGAAGTGCTACATCCCCTTCTCCAACCGACGGAAAAACTGGAAATGAATGTCCCAAAGGATCCTACTGTCCTAAAGGAAGCAGGACTTTTACCAAGTGCCATCCAGGAACCTTCGCAAATACTACTCAGAACAAAGCTTTAAATGACTGCGCAGATTGTACCAAGGGCTGGTACTGTGAAGGATGGGGAAAGCATGAGCCCACTGCCGAGTGTTTCGCTGGGTTTTATTGCCCTCCAAAACAGAGTGAAGGAAATCCGGCAAACTTTACTTGCCCTCTTGGTCATTACTGCCCCAAGGGTTCTCCGGATCCCTTACGCTGCAAGTCAGGTTATTATCAAGATGAGAAAGGACGTCCAACTTGTAAGGTAAAAATCAATTGATTACACGATTTGTTTTGTGGACAATGTGTAAGAAGTTTTATTATTATTATGTTCTTAGGTTTGTCCTTCAGGCTACTATTGCGACAATCGTATGGCGCCTGTGGTCCTATACCAGAACAGCACATGTCCTGCTGGCTACTACTGCCCCAATGGTACACGTTTTGGATTCGAATTTCCTTGCCCCTTGGGTACTTTTAGTAATACGAAGGGTATTTCACTGGTTAATGAATGTAGCCCGTGTCCAGGAGGTTATTACTGCGATGAACAAGGACAAACAACCTACACTAAGAAATGCGCTCCAGGTACGTAAGACAAACATCTTAATCTTAAAATATATACATACCATTTCGTTGGTTCATGAAAACGGCCGCATCATGTGTTACGTATTAGATAATGTAACACAGTGTTACCGACATGCTTAGACATCCCCCCCCCATCCATCGATCCATTCCTTGAAACGCAACACGCAATTGCAGTCAAATGAGAAAACATATTTTTGGATACTCATTATTAAGACTGGATTGTATTTGTATTCTCTTTAAGAAAGCAGCCAGTTTTAGGTTTTATATAATACTTAATATAAGTAATTGGAATAAGTAATAAGTTATTGGAAAAAGACGGTTTAATTTACCATATGATCACAAAAATGAATTGATTACGATCCTAGTTAAACTGTGTGTGTGGTTGAAATTTTCGCAAATCGCAGTATCATCATAATGTATTATATAAAACATTGTGTTTGCTTGTACATCTTGAATAAATTGCAAAACGACAGGTTCATTTTAGGTTAACCATTACCAGCAACACGACTAATACCATAATAGATATTCCCAAAATATTTATTATCTTGACTGTCACACAGAGCTAGATAGTTATAATATGGATTTTGTGTATCTTCTCTAGGATATTATTGTCGTAGTGGAGCAACTGTCTCAACACCTGAAAGTCTGTCAACAAATGCAACGTTTTGTCCACCTGGAACGTTTAACTACACAGATGCCGGACCATGCCCTGCAGGATTTTACTGTGAAAAAGGCACTGCTGAACCAAAGAAATGCCCTCCAGGAACATTCAGTAACCTCACGAAGAGGGCCACAGTTTACCAATGTAGAAACTGTACAGCTGGGATGTACTGTGGCGAGTACAACATGACCACCACTTCGGGCCCTTGTCAGGAGGGCTACTATTGCCCGAGTGCTGCATCTAGATCAGATTGGATTGAATGTCCCCCAGGAGCGTATTGTGTTTCAGGCAGTGATAAACCAGAGTTATGTCCTAATGGAACCTTCCGTAATATCTCTTTGGGTAAAGCACCTAGTGATTGCTTCAACTGCACTCCTGGCTCGTACTGTGATGGACTAGGTCTGACGACTGTAACTGGGCCTTGTGCTCCAAGGTATGTATAATTTCTAAGTTCTATTCCTAGTTAAATTCGCAGGGAACCATGCCTTAATTATAAAAAAATAAATAATATCCGAAGAAAAATACCTTTTCTTAAGATTAATCTTTTATTAAGTTGCACATGTCTCCTCAATTGTGAAAATCTATAAATAAACATTTTTCATATTTTATTTTGTGTTACTTGTTTTTGTGTAGTAAGTATCTTCATTGGGCGTCCCCAGTGCAAGACCAAAATTCAACATTATGTTAAGATCTTTTTATTCAAGTTCTATTCAGATTAGCTCACAACTGCTTTTCCAAAGGGTCCGTTAGGTGATACTGACAACAGATTTATTACAACAGAAACTGATAACGGATTTATTATTATTATTATTATTAACCTTTACTCTCTTAAAGCTGATTAACTCCGATTACCTCTATTAAACAAATCGAGCACTTAAATAAAATATATAATTTTTAATATTCTTTCCCTCGAAGATATTATTGCCCTGGTGGTATGAAGCGAAAAGATCCACCTGAATTCGCGTGCCGAGTTGGACACTTCTGCCCAGGAGCTACTTCCGAACCAATTCCTTGTCAAAACAACAGTTTTACCAAGACAACTCATTCAAAGGAATGTGAGCTTTGCCCTGAAGGGTTTTATTGTAAAGTAGCTGGTATCCCGATCATCTGCTCACAAGGCTACTATTGTCCTTATGGAACGGGCCTAGATCTTAAATCTTGCCCGCGGGGAACCTACGGCAATCAGACAGGATTTTATAACGTAACACAATGTAAACCATGTGATCCAGGGATGTATTGTGCCTATGAACATGCAAGTAATTCTACTGGTAATTGTTCGGCCGGACATTGGTGTGAATATGGCGTTGATCGGCCAAACCCAACAGGAAACAATGCTTCTGGTTGTTTAACAAACTTGAATGGCTCGTGTCCATATTTTGATGGAAAAGAAACAGGAAAAGGAGGAATATGCCCGATCGGAAAATATTGTCCTGAAGGAACCTTTCAGCCAAAGGATTGTCCACCTGGAACATATGGTCCAGTCACTAAGCTTTCTGCTTGTTGGCCGTGTATGCAAGGTTTCTATTGCCCTGGTTCGAATTCTGAGTACTCGAGTCGTCCGTGTCCTTCTGGATACTACTGTCCAAATGGCACCAAAACGCAATACGAGAATCCATGTCCAATAGGAACCTTCAATAACAATACAAGAGGGAGAAGTCTGTCTGATTGTATACCCTGTACGGCTGGCATGTACTGCCCTAGTGAAGGTAAGCATGTGTTCTATATCGTATCGAACAGACTTCATGACCCAAGTAAAAATAAAGACAAACGACGCTTTAACTGGGTAATTACAGCGAAATCATTAAAAATTGCAATTATTCCCCGTAAATGTGTTATGTTTACAGACAAGCAAAACATAATTTTGCTTTTTTCTTTACCTTCCCATAAATTACACAGCAAATGATTTTGATTTTCCTTTTTTAAGGATTAAGCCATGAATATGGTAACTGTGAAGCTGGTTATTTCTGCCGTCGAAATGCTACATCTATGACTCCAAATCAAGGTGACGATGCGAATATTTGTCCTGTTGGTCACTATTGTCCAGAGCAAACTGGTGAACCTGTAGACTGTCCTAAGGGCACTTTTGGAAATGATACGGGTAAGTGCACCTCTTATATATGATATATAGCTATAAAGTCATTATCAAAGCTCCCCCTTTCAAAGTTTAAAGAAACATGCAATGTTTAAAGTTAACTCGTTATTTATTTTCAAATCATTTAGGATACAAATTAGTTGATGATTGCTGGAACTGCACTGCTGGTTATTATTGCTCAATTCCAGGGCGTGACTCGCCCGTCGGACTTTGCGCTCCAGGATATTACTGTCCTCCAAGATCGTCAAGTAGTATGGAAATTGCTTGTCCTCCTGGTACGTACTGCAAAGGTGGAAATAAGGAACCATCCCTTTGCAAAGTAGGCACCTTCCAGCCTAACAGTAGCAGGACCTCGGAATCTGATTGCATTCATTGCACTGAAGGTAACCCTTTTCTTATTAGATATTATTTATTGATGTCATTCATTATTATATCCTGTTATCGCTAACCTAATCCAATAACCGTTTTAATATTTTATTGTGGACCCTAGGGTACTACTGCGATTCCCAAGGCCTTTCAAATGTAACCGGACCTTGTAAAGAGGGTTGGTACTGTCCAACCGGCTCTAAAGTGTCGACAGCCAAAGAATGTCCTATTGGTTTCCACTGTCCCGAGGGTAGTAGCCTGCCCAAGCCTTGTCCCGCTGGTTTTTATACTAATTCGACAGGAGCTGCCACTTGCACTCAATGCCCGAGGGGTTTCTTTTGCGTTCCATTGGACCTTAGTCGCAACGAGTCTAGAGGTTACTTCTTATGCCCGATGGGATTCTATTGTCCCGTGGGTACTGGAATGGACTGGAAACCGTGTCCTGCTGGAACCTACAGCAATAGAACAAGTCTTTATGATGTCAGTCAGTGCGTTGATTGTGATCCAGGACGTTACTGTGGTGGACCAAATCTAACAAGTTATACGGACTTATGTGACGAAGGCTACTACTGCACTTCAGGTTAAAAACTTGTTTTTATGTAGCTTATTATTATGAAACACGCGCTCTAAGAACACCTGACTCAACTTTTCATGTGACGCTCTTTAACCCCTTACCATTTTTCTACATTTTGTTTTTTATTCACTGTCCCTGCTTTTTTAAAATATAACATAAAATCAAAGTACAAAAATGTGCAAACTTTACTTTTGCGTCCTAAAAAATTGTCGAAAAAGCATGTTTTATAGCGTAAATACGAGTCGAGCTCCTGTGTAAGGCTATTATTCTAATACGAGCGTTTAGCAGTTATAAAATGCTCAATACGTTAATTATTTGTTTTAGGGATTGCCTTACCAAAGCCGTACATTGATGGGTATAACACGACTAATGTTACATGCCCTCTTAGCAAGTACCTGGGACAGTATACGGGTATTGGTGGTATTTGCCCACCCGGAACGTTCTGTGAGCGTGGTTCAGTTGTTCCTGAAAAGTGTAAGCCTGGAACCTATAATGATGTTAGTGGCAAGAGCAAATGCATGTCTTGTCCATCCGGATATTACTGTTTGACTGAAACCATAGATTACAAGTTAACGGTTTGCCCAAGTGGATATTACTGCCCAAACGGCACAAAATATGCAAATCAGCATCCCTGCCCCCCAGGAACATTCAACAATCTCACTAGACAACAAAGTGAGTCATCTTGCGAAAAGTGCCCACCCGGTATGTACTGCGAGGGACATGGAAACTCATGGCCAACTGGATTTTGTAGTGCAGGTTGGTACTGCAATGGAAGTGCTACTAGTAACAAGACAACCGTTCATGGAGGCATGTGTCAACCAGGATATTACTGTGCTGAAGGATCAACTCACCCAAAAGAATGTGATGGAGGCAAATTTTGTGCTGTTTCCGAACTGGAGAGGCCATCTGGTAATTGCTCGGCTGGATACTACTGCCGCAGGAAATCACGCTTTTCAAGTCCAACAGATGGAATAACCGGAAATGTATGCCCGAAAGGCTATTTCTGCCTTGAAGGTACCCGAGATCCAACTCCATGCCCTCCAGGGAAATACAATGATGCCTTTCAAGCAACTAATTCAATTGCGTGCAAGCCTTGTACAAGGGGGATGTATTGTAATGGTACTGCGCTTGAAGAGCCAAGGGGTAACTGTGCTGCTGGATGGTACTGTCCTCCTGGCCAGGTGTCAAAGACTCCAGCTTCCTATCCGTGTCCACCTGGTTCCTTCTGCAAAGAGGGTGTAGATCGTCCTGAAAAATGTCCTTCGGGATCCTACCAAAACGAAGCAATGAAAGACTTTTGTAAAATATGCCCTGAAAAATATTACTGCAATGCTACCTTTGGTGGAGTTGTAAATTACGCCTTGTATTTATGCCCTCCTGGGTATTATTGTCCAAACGATACTCGATTTGCAGAAGAATACCCTTGCGATTATGGTACTTTTAGCAAAGGAAATGGTCTTGCTAGACAAGAACAGTGTACTCCTTGTCTTGGTGGTTATTACTGTGGCGAGAAAGGACTTACAACTCCTGTCACTCCATGCAGCCCCGGTTTTTACTGCAAGCAAGGTAAATTGTTTTGTAGCATTGTATGCCCTTTCATTTAATAAAGGACATGTTTTCACTGGTTGTCATTTCCTTGGTGTAATTAATCTTAATATTGGACTTTAGGGGCTAAGACAGCAACTCCCAGGCAAGGAAGTGATGCAAATATATGCTGGCAAGGCCACTTCTGCGGAGAAAAGACAATAACGCCAGAGCCATGCCCTGCGGGTACATTCTCAAACAGGACTGGTATGTATTTGGATCGGAGCAGAAAATACCTAAGCTTGCTATGATAACTTAATATACACCTATTTCAGAAATCGTTGTCGCACCAAAAGCCTCAAGCAACAAGCCAAGACCGCAGAGAACGCCGGTACTTTTAGGTGTAATTAGTTTATTCATGGTGCATTTTCATTTATTGACAAATTGCTCCAAGCAAGGCTGCTTGAGATGATAATTAGTGTAGAGCTATAGCCACTTGTATGATCCATGAATAAATCAATTATAATTAAAAGTACCATCGTTCTCTGCGGTCTTGGCTTGTTACTTGAGGCTCTTGGTACGACAACGATCTTCGAAATAAGTGTATATGCTTAGCTATATGCAAATTAGATCAATTTACGACTATCCATTGAAATTATTAGACCTTTCTCTGCTCGGGCGTAATCTTTTCCCATTTCAGACGACATTTCATTTCCTTGAGAATAAGATTATTTGCTTGATTTGTTGTATCCATATTCATGTTTCTCTCATGTGCAACCGAGCACAACCGTTAAATAAAGAAATGATTCTCAAAGGAATGACACCAGGTCTGAAATTGAGAAGGACTAGTTCACAGTTCCACGTCCTTCGTTATTAAGAGTGACTAAAACTACATCGAGGTAATTTAGTTAAACAAGGTTTACGGTTTAAGGTGAACGGACATTAGTTAAGCTAAGCAGCTTAAACATGGAGGGACTGGTGTGAACGGGGTATTATAATTTTTATTTCTTTTTCAGGATTGCATAATTCTTCACAATGCACTGACTGCACTGGTGGTTCATACTGCGAAGATCCTGGGAAAACAAATGTAACTGGCCCATGTCAACAGGGACATTTCTGTGTAACTGGATCGAAAAGCAAAACTGCTGCTGCTTGCCCAGCTGGGAAATATTGTCCTACAGGAACTGAAATACCAAAAGATTGTCCAATGGGCACGTTTTCAAATACGACTGGCCTTTGGAGCAAAGACCAGTGTACGAACTGCACAGCTGGGCGGTATTGTGGTGCTAACGGTCTAACGTCTACGAGTGGTCCTTGTAAGGAAGGATACTATTGCCCAGAGGGCTCATCGTCTGAAAATGCAGTGCCTTGCGTCATCGGGCTCCATTGTCCTGAAGGTACGTTAATACGATCTTAGTTTTGTTGATGATTTTCATATTCGATTTTTTCGGCAATAGGCATCGCATTTTGTAGATTAATATTGAAGTGCAGTCAGTACATATCAACCTACAAAATGTTGTCTGTAAATATTAATCTAAAAAATGTCAGTGACAACCGTTATGTATTTCAACTTGCATTAGGAAGCAAAAGTCCAAGAGATTGTCCAGCTGGCTATTTCACCAACACCACTACTTCAGCTACATGCCAAATATGCCCTGAAGGTTTCTATTGCATTCCTGAAAACGTAACAGCAGGAGATCCCAAATCCGGCTATCACCAGTGTCCTGCTGGTTACTATTGTCCAAATGGTACGGGCCTTGATTGGCAACCATGCCCGCGTGGAACTTATAGCAACACGAAGCAGCTTCATAAAGCATCTCAGTGTAAAGACTGCGATGCAGGAAAGTACTGTGGGGAACTTCATGCTACTTCTACGACTGCAGATTGTTTCGGTGGCTACTACTGCGTACGTAGAGTTGATAGACCAGATCCTATTTCAACCGTGGAAGGTTCTTCCTTGTGTGGCAACTGCTCTTCAGGTAAAAACGCATAATAAAGATACCAAGGGTCGTACCAAGCAACAATAAGATATTCCTTCAGCGAGGCATCATAATAACCGTGTATAGTATTATTTAACAATTGTTAAGTGATTATATATCACCATAATCACTGAGCCTGAGGGGAATAATTGTTTTAGTATAATTTTAGACTTTTAGAATATCAGAGAAAAGTCGAAATTCAGGTGATTATCGTCTCAGAATCACCGGTCGCTCGACCAATCACAGCTCGAGAAACTCTATATTCAATTATAAAATTATACTAATTAGTAATTTAATGTGTCTCGTAATAAAGAGCTACCGACATGACCCTACTATTATCACTGTCTAGTGACTAAAGTCTACTCCATCATGTGTTCTATTTAATTTCCTCCGATATAAACCTCAACCTCCCACAAAAGAGTTAAGAGAACAGTTAGTTAAGGTACTTCTTTTACACTAGTTTCAAAACAATACAGTAAAACAATTTCACACTATATAGTTATATATAATTTTTTTCTCAAGCAATTGGAGATGTCTGCCCACCCGGTTTCTACTGTCCTCAAGGTTCGCCTTATCCAAAAGGATGTCCTGCTGGTAGCTATCAAGACAAGCAAGGCATGACGTCATGTAAACCCTGTCCTGATGGATACTATTGTCCGAGCAATTCGTCGTCATTCTTAGGCTTCGTTTGTCCGGCCGGTAGCTATTGTCTTGTAAATACCACTCACGACAAACAGTATTTGTGTCCTCCTGGAACATTCAATCCATTACCTGGCCAGAAAACGTCGGCTTCTTGTATTCTGTGTACCGGAGGAAAATACTGTGCACAATCTGGACTTGACAAACCAACCGGGGAGTGTGCTGGGGGCTGGTTCTGTGTGAATGGATCCTCTACGTCGATGCCTACTGACGGTAAGATATAGATTTTATTATTTGAAAGTTACTTTTTGAGCTAAATAAATAGAAAATTTTATTCCAGGACAATGTCAACCTGGTTACTACTGCCCTAATGGAACTGCATTACCAGTACTTTGTGATCGAGGAAAGTATTGCCCGCGGTCTGGTCTTATTGAACCTTTTTACGACTGTGAGGGAGGCCATTATTGCAATTTGGGTGCCAATAATCCAAAACCAAACGACGGCATAACCGGCAATATATGCCCTAAAGGCGCATATTGCCCAAGAGGAGTGCCGAATGGTCCACAGCTTTGTCCTTTAGGAAAGTTTGCTAACGTCACAGGAAACAGGTTAGATCATTAATACGCACTTTTTCGTATCTCCATGTAGGCATAGAAAGATCGCGGAACATTTTTGAAAGTAAGGCGTGGCTTTAAGATTTGAGAATGTAGCTGGCTATGTAGATATGTTGTAAGACTAGGGGGGACACTAGTTGGTGCAGACTAGCTAAACATGGTTCAGGTCTAGAATATATGAGTTTTGATGTTAATATCTCTATTTTGAAACAGCCGAGAATATTGAATATACAGTATTAGCTGTAATGTTAATCGTAATAATAATGTCATTTTCTCCCCCAAGAAACCTCACCGATTGCCAGCCATGTACGCCAGGCTGGTATTGTGGTAAAAATGGTCTTCCAGTACCCTCTGGAGAGTGCTTGGAAGGATACTACTGCGATGGTGGAGCAACAAACAAAACCCAAAATCCTTGCCCAGCCGGAAACATATGTCCAACTGGAAGTCCAGCACCTTCGCCATGTGGAGCAGGTTTCTACCAAAACGAGACCCGTCAATTCACGTGTAAAACCTGTCCCGCTGGATTTTATTGCAACGATACTTATGGACCTGTGGTAAACTATGCCCTCTTTGAGTGTATTCCTGGACATTACTGTTCTAAGGGAACGCGGTATGTTTCAGAGTTCAAGTGTCCACCAGGGACATTCAATAACCGCAGTGGATCTACTAACGTAAACGACTGCTTGCAGTGTACAGGCGGGTATGTCTGTGATGAATGGGGTCTTGTTAGGCCAAATAGGCTTTGTAGTCCAGGATATTTCTGTCGAGAAGGTGCAAATACAACAACGCCCGACTTAGGTGTTAAAGCTAATATATGTCCAGCTGGCTATTATTGCCTTGAGGGTACGTAAAAGTGCTTCTTTGTTCTATTATTTATAGTGTCTCTTTTTCTTTCACGCAGCAGGATTTCTTACATTTTGGCAAACTATCATTTGTTTATCACGCAAAAAATAAAATCTCGTTTTACCTCTATTTAGGTATTGCTGAGCCTATGCCATGTCCAGTTGGAACCTATAGTCCGGTGACTAAACTTCAAAGAGAAGCAGACTGTTTGAATTGTACAGGCGGCGAATTTTGTAATGAAACTGCCATGACAACCACTGCAGGAAAATGTAGTGCTGGCTACTACTGTCCTCCACGGTCCATTAGTCAAAAAGAAATTGTATGCCCTGAAGGGAGATATTGCATCACTGGAACAGAACATCCTGAACCTTGTCCCTCGGGAACGTTCTCGAATACCACTCAACTAACTAATAGTTCCGAGTGCATTCCTTGTTCAAAAGGCTGGTACTGCGATGACCCAGGTCTTGTGAAGCCAAAGGGTCTTTGCTATAAAGGATATTATTGTCCAACTGGTCAAATAAGTAGCCGACCCATCATTTGTCCAGTTGGAAGGTTTTGTCCCACAGGAGCCTCAGAACCTTATCAATGCTTACCGGGCACTGTTGCTCCTAACCAAGGTATGGACTCTTGCGTTGTCTGTCCAATGAGCAAGTATTGTCCAGGAGCACCTGTCAACAGAGGTTAGTTTATGCATTTTGAGGCATGTTTCTTACAATATTAACGTTAAAATAATAATAATAATAATAATAATAATAATAATAATAATAATAATAATAATAATAATAATAATAAAAAACAGTAAAAATAAACGAAAGAAGCAAAAGAGCGCTCTCATGGATGCTCTGTGGAGCATCAGTAGTTATTTATACCATAATTTTCCAACTGAAACAAACATATCATTTATTTCTAGTGTCGCTTGCCTTTGGTGCTGATATACCTTTAGAGCTGATTATGATAGACTGTCCAGAAGGGTTTTACTGTCCAAATGGAACTGGACTTGATTGGAAGGGTTGTCCACCTGGGACCTATAACAACAAAACAGGCTTAGGGAGAGAAGAAGATTGTATCCCTTGTGATGGCGGTAAAGTCTGTCGCGGAAGTAATTTAACAAGTCCGAATGGAATTTGTGAAAAAGGCTACTACTGTGTGTCTGGAGCTTCCTCTCCTAATCCATACATGACGAACCTAACTCACTGTCCTGCACACTTCGCTCATGTAACTGTTGGAGGCATTTGTCCACGTGGTCATTTTTGTAAATCTGGATCATCATTTTATGAAGGTACTGTTATTTGGTTGTTTTATTGAACATTGCACCGCTAAATATATTAAAGATTCGATATGGTTTTGGAGATTTGAAATTGTTAAAACGGGCCGTCCAAATCAAGGCTACAGGGGCTAGGATGTCGTTATCATGTATTCGATTTACTGGTCATGCCTGAGATTAATTAGCTTTTATAAGTAACACACATTATAATGTTGTTTATGGAATTTATTGAGCTTTTTATTTACGCAGGCTGTCCACCTGGAACGTACAATGATCAAGAGGGACGATCCACATGTTTTGATTGTCCAGCAGGCTATTATTGTTACGCCAATTCAACTGAATATTCGTCTAATATCTGCCCCAAGGGACATTACTGTCAATTGAAGACACCTGATCCATACCATTCCCCTTGTCCTCCTGGTTCTTATAACCCTAAAACTGGATCCAATAGCTCCAAAGACTGTTTACMTTGCGATAAGGGCAAGTATTGTGCTGGCGAAGGAAACGAAAAGCCTTCGAACTCGTGCGCCCCTGGCTGGTATTGTCCTGGAGGAAGTGACACACCACACGGTTATCCCTGTAAAGAAGGATACTTTTGCCCTGAGGGATCTTACAACATGACTCCTTGTACCCAAGGGAAATACTGCGACCGACCACGACTTTCAAAACCTGTCGATGATTGTGACCCAGGCTATTATTGTCCATTGAAGTCCACATCCCGCAAACAAAAGAAATGTGAACCTGGAAATTACTGCCCAAAGAGCAGTCCGATTCCAACACCTTGTAAACCTGGTACTTATGTTACTGGATATGGTCATGTTAACGAGTCTGAATGCTTGCCTTGCGAAGCTGGAAAGTTCTGTAATGTTAGTGGGCTTCATGAGCCTCAAGGAGAATGCGACCCAGGGTACTTTTGTCCACCTGGTCAAAGTATATCAAATCCATCTGCATATCCTTGTCCAGCTGGTCATTTCTGTAAACAAGGGTCGCCAAACGCTACTAGATGTCCTAATGGCACTTACCAGATAGCGGAATACAAATCAGACTGTGACTTGTGTCCTCAAGGTTATTACTGTGATAGCACTGAATTACCAKTGACCTTTCGCGGGCTGGAATGCCCAGCTGGTCATTACTGTCCACAAGGCACAAAGTTTGCAACTCAATACAAGTGTCCTGAAGGAACCTGGAGCAATCGGACTAAGCTTGTTGATCCAAGCGAGTGCTTTGGCTGCCCACCTAGGTAGGAATAACTCTTATATTCATTTCTTGGTATTTGCAATTGTAAAAAATATATACAAACAATGATTTCGTTTTGTTTTAGGTACTACTGCCAGAAAAAGGGCCTCCCTGAACCAGAAGGATTGTGCTTCGCAGGGTATTATTGCATTGGTAATGCTTCAAGACCCAATCCGCCAGAAACGCAATGTCCAAAGGGTCATTACTGTCCAGAGGGAAGCTATAAGCCAATGAGGTGTCCTGCCGGATCATTTTCCAATGCTATGGGAAACCGAAATATAAGTGATTGCCGACCATGTAGCCCTGGAAGATACTGCTCTCCTAATGAAACTACGATTACAGAAAAGCCCTGTGCTCCTGGCTACCTTTGTATACTAGGTAAGATTTTAAAATTTCTTTTGTGATTTTAAAGTATCTGATTAAAATACACGATCATAGTTTTAATTAAAACAAAGGTGCAACAGCAGGGGTTTAAAATCACTTTAATTGAATTTCAGGTTCTTCGACACCAAAACCTACTGATGGTGTCATGGGCAAGCCCTGTCCACGAGGACATTTCTGTAGAGAGGGAACTATTAGTGCGGAGCCTTGTAAGCCAGGATCTTTTGCTCGTGAATTCGCAATGTCCAGCTGTTTACCATGTCTAAGGGGTTTTACTTGTCCAAATACAACTACAGTTGAACCGATTCCTTGTTCTAAGGGGCACTACTGCCCCGAAGGTACGTACCTAACAAAAGGTGAACCATGTCCTATTGGTACCTATTTCCCAGAGATTGGTGGTAAATTTAAGAACGAGTGCCGTGCTTGTCTACCTGGAAAATACTGCGACACTCCTGGACAATCTAGTCCTTCTGGTCCATGTTTAGCTGGCTATTTGTGCAGAGGTGGTGCAAAGTTTAAAGCACCTAATGATACAAGCAGTGATCCGTACAATGAACCTTGCCCTGTCGGGATGTACTGCGAAGAGGGTACAAGCAATGGAACCAAATGCCCGATAGGAACATTGCGACCATTCACCGGTGGAAAAAATAAAAGTGATTGTTTACCTTGTGATGGAGGGCACTATTGTGACGAGCCAGGATTATCTGTAGCTAAAGGAATATGCTCACAAGGATATTATTGCCCACCTGAAGCAAAAATAAAATCTCCTACACCATCTGGTTATCTTTGCCCTAGAGGGTATTTTTGCAAAAATGGAACCGTACATCCCCGTGGCTGTGAACAAGGCAAATACCAACCAAATGAACTTGAATATACATGCCTGCCTTGTCCTGCAGGCAAATATTGCCCAGCAAATACATCAACTCCTGAGCCTTGTCCTCCACACCATTATTGCAGAGCGGGCAGCATTATCCCTGAATTCTGCCCTAACGGAACCTACACTCGAGGTGATGAGACCGGTCTCACTGAGCCCAAACAATGTAGACCATGCATAAATGGCTCATACTGCCAGATGGGTGCCATTAAAGGTCCATGTGCAGCAGGTTATTTATGCTACATCGGTAATCCTACGCCTAACCCAGATGGATCAAACGAAAATATTGGCAGATTGTGTCCACTTGGTCATTATTGTCTAGAAGGTGCCCTCGAACCAAAGAAGTGCAAGGACGGACTCGTGATTACGATAGAAGGAGCCAAATCGGAGGCAGATTGCCAGAGATGCTCAGCAGGCTTTATTTGTACACCTGGTAACTCAATACCTACGCCTTGTCCTGCTGGATACTATTGTCCCGTCAATGAAACAAAGCAGCCATGTCCTATCAAGACATATTCGTTGTCTGTTAAAGCTGTTGATATACGAACCTGTCTTCCTTGCCCTGCTGGATATTGGTGCAACGTTGAAGGTAGGTCTTTGAACCATTAATATCATCATTCTAATGGCATATATAACAGTAACTGCTGGTCATGGATTGCAGTTCATATGAAAAATAAGTCATAGATGACTGTAGCTCACCATGCGAGTTCGCAGTTGCTGAGCGTCAGAAGGTCGTGGGTTCAAATGACATCTGGAACTCAGATTTTCCCCCGAACTCTTTGTCTTCCTCTTCTCGTTATTCATTTATTCATTATCCGCATTCTTAAACTAAACTACAATTTTTGCTCTTATTTGTTAGCTACTGCGAACTACACCACCAGGCCTTGTCCTGTTGGACACTATTGTGAAAATGCCACCACTGTCCCTACACCTTGTCCACCAGGTACATACAGAGATAGTCAGGGTGCTGCAAACGAAAGCGATTGTCATCCTTGCCCGGCTGGTTTCTACTGTCCCGAAACAAACGGAAGTATCTGGGGAGAAGCTTGTTCAGAAGGATCGTTTTGTCCACCTGGTAGTTCAGCACCTAGAGAATGCTTAGCTGGGTACTACTGCAATCGCTCCATGTCCCAGGTGCCTTGCCCTCCTGGGTATTATTGTCCTCGTAACTCGTCTCAACCTGTAAGATGTCCTGTTGGTCACTACTGTGATCCAAAGCTTAATTGTTATAACGATTCTAACAACGAAGCTGGAGCATGCACTCCAAAACTTTGTAATCCAGGTATTTCTGAAATATATACTCAATTTACAGTTTATCATTTAATTCATTAAACTTAGATATTTTTAATACATGGACCTTATGTGCAAAGTGATTGAAATTGGTTGTCATTACAGCTCTTTATTTAAAAAAAAACTAGTCAAAATTAGGGAAATCGAAAAGCCTTTAGTTCCTCATTCGCAACATGTGTAAAACTTAAATTGACGCGTTTCTGGTGGTTTTGTTTGTTATGCCCTCTTATTTATAATGATATATTCGAAATGTTAGGTACTCATGAGGCGTAGCTAATATTTTTGGTTGCCCCCCTCACTCAATCATAACAAATTTTTAGCGTCCCCTACAAATTACCAAATGTTAGTAGGCTAAATAAAGTATCATATTTAAAGAAATATGGCTGGCCCCTTTCCAAATACCCGTATACCCAATAAACACTTTGATATATTCTATGATAGGATATGAAGAAATTAAAGGAAGTAAACGGGACAGCTTTGCAAGTACTTGCCAGATATGTAAGACTGGTTACTATAACGACGAGGCCAACAAAGGAATCTGTAAAAAATGTCGTGGGGGAGTAATCTGCCTAGAAGGTGAGCTATTTGTTTAGGATATTATAACCTAGACTCTGTCATAGTTTCTAGGGAATCTGTATTGATTATAACAGCCTTATAGGTTTGCTGGCAGTCGCTCAGTAGAAACAGATATTCCTAGTATAAGAAGATATCCAAAAGTGAACGATTATTGATATTGAAATAATAAATAAATATATTGTGTTGGGAATAAGTAACTACTTTCTTAATGATAAGCACTAGTGTACACTGTTTTAAATGCGCAGTCTCTCACCGCTGTGATCATGGGTTCCATCCTCGGGCACGCCATCGTGTGCTTAGAGTTTATTGTTGGTTTATTCTTGTGCTTCGAGGGTTTTTTCTACGGTTCTCCGGTTTTCCGCCTTCGAAAAAACCAACCCGGGTTTTAAAGTTCTGTGGAAAAAAAGCACATATTTGAATTATTAGCCACTAGCTGTTGGGTTCTTACCTCGTATGAAAAAATTACTTAGTACGATTTATTTTATTTGCCCTTAAATTTGTAGGTGCAATTACAGATAATCCATCTGAGAACGGCACAGGCTGGGGAGTTGAAATCACAAAGAGCTACTTGTGTCCCCGTGGTTACTATTGTGAATCAGGTGACAAAACTCCGAGACCTTGTAGAAACGGCACATACAACGACCATCTTAATGCGTCAAGTCCACTGCATTGCCAGTTGTGTGCTCTTAATCATTTTAACCATCTACAAGCACAAAATGCGTGCTTCCCTTGTGGGTCGAGTGCAAGTGCGAAGCATCTTGGCAGTGATACCTGTGAATGTAATGGCCAACATAGAGTGTTTATGGTGAGTATTTATAATTAAACAAGTATGTATTCTGCACAGTGAATGGCTTACATATGTGGCCTTTAGTTGAATCCTAATAAAATGGAATGGCCATAGAAGTCAAATACGAAACGATTTAAAACGTAGTGCAAACTGTAAGAATGACGGGGAAAAAAAAAGGAAACGAATAACAGTGATTTGAACTGTGGTGAGGTTGTTATTCGCTCCATGAAACTAACCTATTCAATTTTGTCTAATGGACCCTTCCTTTTACGAAAGAAATAACAAATTCCATCGAGAAAAAGTGTAATTTTCAAGGGTCCGTTTTCTATGAAAAAAGCGAGACAAAATTGTTGTTCAATAAAGTCAATGCTAATGAAAATTTACACCATTTACCAATGTTTCCATACCTAGCCTTCAGACAGGAGATGCTTTTGCAAAGAAGGATATCGCACAATGGAAGGACGAGAACAGGACTGCGTATCCAAGTTATATCCACTTTGTCCTGAAGGCTATTACAGGGATCAGTTGGGTGAATGTAAAAGCGTAGCTGCTTGGAATGAATATTGTGAGACAAAAGAGGTAAGCAATGCAGTAAGACCCTATTATAGACCTATTTTGCTTAGAAATTTTCTTTTTTGACGATTTGGAAATTATTGATGATTCTTGATAATCTGAACCTTTGGTTGCAGAGAACACTGTTGTGTAGTGGTTTGGATGGTGGTCAATCAGTTGTTCATGTTTGGAAGGGACAGTCGGGGTATCATTCCTTGGTTGTTTTTTCCTTCCTCTTTTATGATCATTTGACAGTTGATTGTTGTCGCGTGAGAAGTTTATTATTTTTAGTTTCACTTCTCTTTTTCATTGTATTTTGACAATGTTTATCAAGTGTAAACTGTATTTCCCCCTGCGATTTAGTGTCTTAGGGGCAGCGTTGGATTTGACAAGGAACTTGGTCTATGCAAATGCAAAGTAGATGACCTAGAGGATGTTTGTGATCGAGAATGCAGAAACAATCAACGAAACAGGCTGACAATTCTCTGTAAGGACCCACCCTTCATCTTCGTGAGACGGCCAGATAATGTCATAATTGTAAGTTTATAACAACAACTCTTATTATACATTCACTAAAATTATTCAAATTACATGTCAATAAAGACAAATACAAAAAAACTTAGAATAATTATATAATGTACAAGGTATCCTGAAATGATGAAGTCAATCTATGTCAGGTTAATTACTGATATAATTCGAAAAGGGAACTTTAATATAAGTAAAAAAAACCTACTTTGTCAATACTGACCTAATCAGAATTTATCGCTTTCAGTTAAAAACGATATCAAAATGAGCAACTCTAAAAGAAATGAGTTATATTGAAAACTAAAAATTGTTCCAAATACAAACAAAAATTTGCCAGTCGGCTGATTAATTTCTCGGTACTTTTTTGTGGACCACTGAATTTTGCATCTACTCTACAGGGCACATTTAACGTGTCCAGTCTATCTCGTGTACCAAACTTTGAAGAAACATTCAGTGCTGATAGATGTCCAACTATCGATGGAAAAGAGTACCCCATAAACCTGGCCGATGTCAACGGTATGTAAAAAGACTACTGACAAACGTTAGACTTCTACTTTGGGTTCCTATAATGACTTTATCACTGTATGGTTTAAAATCTGAATAGCTCTGTAACTAAAAGGACGAACAAACAAAAACAAATTCTGGTTTACATGAAGACTGGTTCTAGTGCCATGTAGATAAGCCTTATGGTTACTCAAACTTCATGAAAACTTCGCGTCCAATTAAAATGAAGATAGTAGAGAATTTTAGTGTACGTTCACGGCAAACGTGAAACGTCAGTTGACCAGTGAAAAATCGTTTCAAATAGCTGAGAAAGAATCGCAAAAAAGTTCAAGTAGTATAAAAACAAAAGAATATTTGTCTTTGGTAAGAAAGTTTGCAAGAGGTTAAGTTAAATACAGGAAAACGATGAAAACGTGGTCACGTTTGCCGTTTGCGGGGAGAAAAAAAGTCAATCTAAAACTCTCTAGTGTTGCCTGTAATACCTACCTTATTTTGTTTAGTCATTAGTTATAAAACTATTGTCGTAATTTCTTATCAGATGATGGCTTCACTGGAGTATACGATGCCGATGCCACAGCTCTGGTGGATCTCCTTTCAAACAACACTAAGGAAAGTACCAACATATCAAGCCCAGAAACATTGATGACGACTCCTTCAGCTAGACGTAGACGCAGTCTGCTAGCTTTACCACAAGCAACCACATTCAAGGGCATTGCTAGCCCAACGACTTGCTTAGCCCATGGCTCAACCATGATATGGATTGTAAACAATGACAACTATCCAGTATATGACGCAGACAACTTGTACAATACCAATCCTTACTTTGACTATGGTGCATTCAGGGAACTACAAGAACGACATTCACAGAAAGCAACACAATATACCATGTTTGCATTCAAGTTTGAAACCCCAGGTGTTTACGTGTTCAAATCTAGCAACAAGAATGAACGCAAAATGGTAAGTTCTTCGCGCGTAAGTTATAAAACTGAAAGATGACGGTAAAGCATTTCATTCCCACATTTTCATAAAAATTACTTACTTACTAAATGAATTAAATTACTTAATTAATTACTATTAATTAATAAATTGCTGATTTATTAAATACAACTATTTCAAAAAAAAAAAAAACGCTGTCGGTCGGACATCTGAAATCTAAAATCTGAGACCGTGTAGCACGCTGCAAATTGTAACATTTTTCATAAACGGACGACAGTTTTCTTTTAGACTGGAATATAAAACGTAATCTTCGAGTGTGAAATTGTGATTTTTCGTGTTTTAGCCAGAAAACATAAGAGTACAAATATCAGACTGTTCAGTCTCAGTCGCCCATTTGAAGTTCTCCCACCGAACTGATTGATATATCTGTTAGTGTGATACATTACATGTCCATTTTATTTTTAATAGTATATTAGAGTCATGGCAATGGGAGCTCAGTGTGCTGAAGATGGTCCCTTCTTCTCCACCACGCCCCGCGCGGTCATCCAGAACGGAATGGCTATATCACGTGATATATTAATCATGCCTGACTGGGCTTTGATTGGTGCCATGTTGGGAAGCTTCTTCTTGTTAATGGTTATACTTGTTCTTGGTCTGGTAAGTAAGAACCTAACAGGACAATACCCTGCACGTTGAGCCATGACATGTATGTGACATGCCAGTGTATGTGCCGTGAAAGATACGAAATTGGCTCTAAAGACTGTTGTTTAATTTCTCTGGGATATGTTTCTGATTATATTTTTCAACCTTTTAGCTTGTCTTCCGCAAACACGGCTGGACGAAAGTCACATTCAAGTTCCCTCGCTACCGTGTTCTTGCCCAGCGATATAACTTTGATGATTACTCATCTAAAGGCTCCACAGTACATCCAGCGAAGAAATACCATTACAAGACTGCTGCTGTTGAAGCAATCGGTGATGTCCCACAACCTCCTACTGAACCAAACGCAGGTATACTATTAGCATTGACACTTTGCAGCGGAACATAAAAAGGGATCTCTAAAAAGGGCTAATATTTTTAAGTGAAGCAGACATACCACAACTTGCGAGGGACAGAAAAGAGTGAATCACATTGCTATTAATTTACCTCCTTCAATTCCGTCCTGCCTTCCTTCATCTTAGACCAGAATACTCCATATTTTGTGCTTTTACTTTTACCCTTATTCTGTCCTAGTATTCAGTAACCACTTTTCATTTACCAGGCGCCCTTGAAGTGAAAAGTGATGAGTTCTGGGATTACGACCAACAAGTGGATATGGAAGGATTCTCGTCTGGTGAATTCTATAATATATTAGCCAAGCAGTCTCGTGACGTAACCGCCGCCATATCTCGCCAGAAAGACCAGGCCAAACAATTGTACCAAAAGGTGAATCAACAGACAGAGTCACTTAAGGGACTCTGGATCGCAAAGCTGAATCTTCGTGGACGTGCTGCCATGGCGACGCCTGAAGATCTTCGAGCATACGAAGAAAAGAAAAATGAGGTAACTGTAGTGACAATCCACAATTGAAATTGTATTCAGAATTAGAAATTCGTTTGGTTGAATGCATACGGGGCTTTGGTCTAATTTTCTGTTGGTTTTGCGCAGCTTGAAGATGAGCTTGAGCGTCGTAAAGACCTTGGCTTTAAGTTCCAACAGATCCAACGTAAACAAAAATCTATTTGGCACGATGATGAAACAGCGAGGGAGGCTCACCGTGTCGTGTTCCAAGCAACTCTGAGAGAAGCCAACAGAATACTCAAGGCTTATTCAGAAAACCCATCGAGAAAGAATGGAGAAACGATGGATGAGTTTAATGATCAGCTCGAACACAAGTATGTCTTGATAAAACATCTCATTTGTGATAATTTGTCTGTGTAATGACTTGTGAATTTTTTTGAACCCTTCCAAATAAATGGCCTCCTTATTTTAGTTTATTTCTAAATTGCCCCTAACTGTGGCCACCCATGATGACAGCCAAGGCCAAAAAGTCAATTTATCCTCATTAATAGAGTGGGGTGATGTTGGGTTCTTAACAGTAGGATCAACTGACGTATAATGAAGACTATTCCATTCTTGCAGTCCATTCTTAACGTCTTTCATGTAATTGCTAAAATGCAAGATGCTGTCGTATAAGCTTGCTAATTTTGATGCTATTTTTCCTAGGATTGGTAGCAGGGTTGATAGTCTTCTTCAAAGACTAGAGGTAGAAGTCACCAGTGAGTGCCAGCGGCGAGGAGCATGGGCTTTACTCGGCGAGTTCACTGGAGCCCGGCTATGTACATTAGAAGGGGAAATACTTGGTCACGAGAAATTGTTCAATGCCGATGGAAGTGTTAGTGCTACAGATATGATCACGATGGATAACATAACAGGGTTGTTGATTCCAAACCCCGAGTCGGCCAACATGTTGCTGTCAGACAACGTGACCAACGTGCCGGTTCCGCCATATTTCTTCTTGAATCCACAATCTGCACACGTTATGCCAATTGAAGGTAAGTGCCTTCATTATGTAAGACCTCATTAGATTTCAAATTAATTGGGGGGAAACTTGGTGGCGTGCATTATTGGTACCACTATTGATATATGCGGGCAAATACTTCTTTGGGATTCTTCTTCATGGGTGTGCTACTTTTCTTCTTTGCTTTAAGCTAAATCACTTTGGATGAAGTATAATCATTCAACTAAAGCCACATATTTTCTAGCTACAGGTCTATTATAGTATCACTCCTAATGATAATGGCGACCTAATCGACTAAATTCTTGTTGTATACGCATGTTTTATCATTTTAGGGAATGTTTCGTATGATCCTCTGTCTTCTCGATTGGTTATTACAAGCGATTCTATGAATGCAGACACAGCTAGTTCAACTGAAGTTCTTATCCCGTACATCCCTTACCCAATTAATCCTGAAACCGGCATTCCTGTAAAGACGTCTTTGATATCAGTTGAAAAACGAGGTGATATGAGGCTGAATGGTAAAACGATCTGCAGCAAGACTGGGCTACCTGCACCTATACTTGGCATGACAATTCACCCAGAAACAAGTAAGCGTTTCATAATGTTCTCGAAGATTATTTCATTTGTTAAATATTTTTATTTTTCATTTAGGCACTGCGTACCCCGTTGGTGGATGTCATCCTGATCCAGTTACTGGCCTACCCGTTGCCATAGAGATAGGAGGCATGATGCTAGATCCTAACACAGGTCTGCCAGTCCCCATCACAAACGTAACCATCGATCCTTGCACAGGAGAGGTGATTCCTCTTGGAGGTACCTCTGGAGATAATGATCGTGGAGATGAAATCCCCATACTTCTTGGAGATAGCTTTACGGAACCGCTGTCTTCCAGACCACTCAAGGTCACAAGCTCGCGATTAATAGGCGATGGTGAAGAACTCGAGCTCGAGCCTATTGGAGGTGGATACGAGCTTGTTCTGGACGTAGGAGAGCTTTACCACGAATTCCGTGTGCTTGATACACTTCGAGCACTAAAGGATGCTATTACAGGACCGCAATCAAGCAGTGGACGTCATGAGACCAGCCTTCTTGAGTCAGCCATTAAAGATTTGTTGAGATTACGTGGTAAAGCACTGACGCATAGATTACGTTTCTTGCACGATATCATGCGAAGGGAAGAAAGAGCAACTCTACTTCTCGAGAACGGTGGCAGCCCAGGAATGTACGAGTTCTCGGCGACAGGACAGCTACTACCGATCTTAGTAGGGACCACTTGTAAGGATCCCTCAGGGACAGAACTAGACGTTCCTATATTAGGCATAGAAAAAGACCGAGAGACAGACACCATCATTCCACTTGGTGGCTCAATGGAAGATCCTACTGGTGACGGTTTGGTTCCGATAATGATTGGGGAGAAGGCTGTAGATCCTGTAACTGACGAAATGTCAACCATCAGTGGTGTGAGACTAAACAAGGAGTTTGGTGTTGTGGAACCAGTGACATTGTCGTCGAGCTCACAGAAAAAGAGAAAACCATCCCCTGGAGCGGTAAGCACAATTTAGTGCGGTTACTACGAGATGTTTTGTTTAAAAAATATGATCTAATTTACTTGTTCCATGTTAACTTAATTAGTTTTATTATTTAGCAATTTTAATAATATTTTTTAGCCACACGCCCCTTGTGGAAATCAGCATTTAGTTGACGGGGTAGGCGCGTATAAATAAAGCTTACCTTACCTTACTGCCTTACCTTACCTTACTGCCTTACCTTACCTTACTGCCTTACCTTACCTTACTGCCTTACCTTACCTTA